GCTGTTGCATATCAAACAGTTGTGGCCACCACCACTAGAAGAAGAAGAAGATGAGCCTCAAACACACACACATACATTTGTATGTATGGAAACATATGTGTGTGGTATTAATGCATTTTTAATTCCTTTGTTTTGGCAATTTATGGGAACACAATTGGCCGACGAGAGAGAAAAAAAAACAAAATAAAAAGGAAAACTGCTATTGAATTTTTCATAAGATAGCAAAAATATTTTAGATGAGTCGATGAATGAATAGATGAATCTATCAGCAGCAGCACCATCATCAGCAACAACATTTCATCATTCAGAGAAACTTTTTCCCAAACAACTCCTTTTGCGTGTTCTGAATATGTAAAAAAGAAGGAAAGCCAAAAACAGATTTCCTCCAAAAGTAGCAGAACTGATTCCCCACTGGCAGCTGCTGCCAGTTTGACATTCTTTGCCAAAAAACAGAGAATTTCGGTTTGGAATTTGCTGATTATCTTTGACATTTGTTATTTCTACTTCTTTTTTCCTTCCTCTTCTTTATTGGTTATATTGTTGTTCTTCTGCTTCTCCTAAGCTGATTACACACATTTTTGACTTATAATGATGATTTCTTCTTTAAAGCCATCCTTTATTTTGTGTGTGTGTGTGCTTTTTGGCAAGTATGGGAATATAAAAATTTTTAATTGGCATTTTTGTTAAGCTCCTCAAGTACTCTTCTAGTGCTATTATTGTGTGGCATAAAGTAGGTAGGAAGCTGAACAAAGAAATAATTGTCATATATGTTTTTTTGGGGGACCACATTGTCCACTAGCATTTTTCAATGATGGGGAAGAGTTCTAAACTTTCACTTGATTCGTCTTTTCCAGCAAGTCATGATTTGCTTAAAAACTAAAACGACAATTCAATAAAATGGCAAGGAAAGTTGTCTTCAAAAAAAAAACAAAAAATACTTATAAAATCATTTTTAAAACAATTTTTTTTTTCAAATCAAACTATAGGCTTAGAATTTTTTAAAATATTTTCTAAATGAAATCATAGGCGTTGATGTTTGAAAGATAATTTTTATAGTAAATCAAAATGCGTGGATAAGTTTTATACAATTTTTTTCCAAATCGAACTATAGGCTTGGGCTTTTTTAAAATATTTGTTTAGCAGCTACTATATGCTCGGATTTTTTTAAATTATTGTTTTATCTGCCATAGACTTGGATTTTTTAAAAATATTTATAAGCAGCTACTATAGTGCGGATTTTTTAAAAAATATATTTTAACAGCTATTTTTATACTCTTCATTTTTACTCTTATATTATGTCTTTGTGCATATGTTTGTAACAGGCAAAAGGCAACAAGATCGACACATGGTTCCTTTTGAGAATATACATAGAATCGCTTTCTGAGTCTATTTATGCATATCCGTCCGTCTGTCTGTCGATGTTAAATTGTAAACAAAGTACAGGTGCATTTATAATCCGAATTGGATGAAATTTGGCATAGGTAACTTATTTGACCCAAGGACGAACCCTATTTAAATTGGGAAAAATCGGTTCAGATTTAGATATAGCTCCCATATATATTTTCGTCCCATTTAATGCAAACGGTCCCTATATATCTTTCGATTTTCACGAAATTTGGTACAGTGTAATGAATTAGGTGTAGAATGATATGAGTCAAGTTTCGTGAAGATCGGTTCAGATTTGGATATAGCTCCCATATATATTTTCGTCCGATTTAGGGTAAATGGTGTACCAAAGTCGCTATATATATTTCGGTTTGTATGAAATTGGGCACAGCTTAGGCCTAGAATGATGTGTGTTAAGTTTCCTGAAATTCGGTTCAGCTTTTGATATAGCTCCTATATATATTAAAGAAAATATATTTTTCAAATCAAACCATAAATTTCGAACCATGACAAACTATAATCCTGCCTGCTTCGCGTCTAATTGATTGGTTAGACAAATTTTAAAATGATTTTACTAATTTAGCATTCAGAATTTTAAATCAGATCTTTCTCTTTCGAGTCGAGCTTAATGAGGCAAAAACTCAAATAAAAACTCAGAATTTCATATTTTTATAATGAAAGAAATACCAATCCTAGGACTAGGTCTTTATTTTGGTTTGGCCTTTAAATTTCCAATTTATACATTACATTGAAAATTGTATTTCCTGTAATTTTGTAATCTTCTGATTAATTTTCATTCTCGGTTTTCAGAAATCAATTTTGTAACTATAAACAATGAAAAAACCATAACAATTTTGTTCTTTCAAAATTTCATAATATTTTCCAGAAAGAAAAAAATTAAAACATACATTACCATTTCTTTTGTGGTCTATCCATCCGTCCGACTGCAGAGTAGATCGGACCTTTTAACCCAAACACACTAATAAACCACAAACCTAATTTCATTTCAATTGTTTTTAATCTTCAATCTGTCGATATACACCACACACATATTCTGATGGATTGATATATGTGCCAATTTAATTGTGTTTTCTATCTCTTATGGTTGGTTTTCTGGATCGGCCGATCGATCGACCACCAGTCATTGAAAATTTCCACCATCCATTGCTGGTGCTCTAATATTTATTCTAATGTTTATTTTCTTTCCATAGCGATCATTTCATCTTCTGTCTATCTTTGCGTTCATCGAATGCATTCTGAGAAATTGGAAAAATGCGTTAATTTGATTTGTTTTTCCAACTTCTCATCCTCCTCTGCGGTGGATAGATATGTGGCTTTGAAGAGTGTGTGTGTAAGGTGTTCTGTGTGCTGGCGTTAAAACAATCAATAGTGAATACTCGATCTTTCAATCCAGCCAAGAAAATATTAGAGTCGATCAGTCAGTCATTCAGTCAAGAGGTCTGCGGTATATTTGCTTTTGGCCATGATAGCAAAATGTCTAATGGCAACAACAAAATCGTAACGAAAACAAATGAGATTTACAGATTGTTTTTTATGGCACGATTAACGGTTTCAAGTGTTGAATGGTTGTGCGAAAAACAAATAAGAATGGATTTTTTTTATAAAAAATACGAGGGCAGGAAAAAAATTCTGTTAATTTTTCAAGATACCTCGAAGTTATATATTCAAAATGTAAGACGGGTCTCAGACCAAGCTGGATCATTTAGAAGGCCCTTATCTTCCCAGAGACATCCCCCTTCTTCCCAAACCATTTCTGATCAGATACAAAAACTATTGCCAAGTTCTGAAAGAATTCCGCATAAGAATAGTTCCGAATATAATTTTTATTAAAAATAGAAAATGTGAAAAAAATTTGAAATTCTTTTTTCGAAAATTCCACGTAATTTTCCATAAATTGTAATAGGATATCCTACAACTGCCGTGACATTCCACACCATTTGATATCCTTTATTTATCCATTTGCAAAGCAAGGTTACATTACTCCCCTTCCTTACCAAAAATGTCTAATATCCACTCTCCTCCTCCTTCTTCGGCATTTGACATTACCTAATATACTATCGTCCGAAGAAAAAAATCGAAATAACACTCACCCACAAATCTCCAGGATAATCATAAAATATTTGCAACATATTTGACTACTTAAAAGCCAAAACAAAAATCAAGGAACAGAAAAAAAACAACCACCAACAGATGTCAACTAAAAATGAAATAAATACTCCTGTCCTCCTCCTCCCCTTACGCCCCATGTCAGGACATACCACACCGACCATTCGACCAGCAGCTAGTATCCCGCTTATGCGGCATGCAATAAAACTTCATTTGATATGCTCACGTGTTGCATCCCCAGAGATTTGATTAAAAGCAAATATGAACAGCTAATAGCTGGACGAACAGCAAAATAACAAACCCACAGACACACTAAGAACTACATAAAGGACACTTTGGCCAAAGGAGGTATCCTTAACGGCGATAAGAAATTTAATACCGCAAAACATTTTTATGGATCTCAATGCGCTTTTATTGGATAATTTACTTTTACTTCAATGCGCAATTGAAGTACACTCACACACACATACGAATACACATAGACATCTAGTTTTTATCTCCACAGAAGTAGTTTATGATTTATTATTTACAAAATGACCAGTGACAGTTCGGTACATCGTCGTCTTCGTCTTAAGTTGTTATCACAAAGTTTTATCAACGCTAATGTTTTGGAGTTGTTTTTTCCTTCATCTTCCACTTCAAACTTCATTGAAGTCCTGGAGAGAAAGGGAAGGAGGAGGAGGAGAAGCGGAGGAGGTAAAGGCAAGGAAGTGTAGATATGTAACATGTTAGCAATTTAGGAAGATAAGGAGAAAAAATTTGATATGTAATCCCAAATTGCGGTAAAATAAAACTTTGATGAAACTATGACAGCTTATCTGGAAGAAAATGCGGTTATAAGGAACAGAGGATAAGGCAAAACAACTTCAAGGATATAAACTTTTTTCAGAAAAAACCCTCAAAACGTTCCATTTTTATTCAATACCTTAACATTTGTGGTTAAAAGAATGTCAGTTGCATCTAGTTTCTTATAAGCGAAATTCTCATAAACAATTTCCCTATAAGCAAATTTTTACAAAAAAATATCAAAAACTTCCTCCCCTTTCCCTTACATACCTTGTCATTTGCAGTTTACTGCAAGGCTAATTTGTCAATTATACACCCCCTCCCCCAAAAAAAATCTCCTTTGTTTCCCGAAAACCTGGGGAAATCAAAAATTCCTAACCTAAGATTTTTTTCTCACAGAAAAAAAATCGGAAATTACAAACAAATATCTCAATTTATTCTTCTTTTTTATATCAAAACAAAACTGGCTTAAAGGCTAATACAAATTTTTATTTGCCAATGGCAGAATAAACGAAGAATGCAGGCGAAAAAGTACCCCCCATCGACACGTGTCCTTCATTTGTTCTTATAAAAGAAACACGTGGCCTTATTACTTGTATAATAAACGCTGCTTTTTGTTGTTATTACTTTTTAATACAAGAAAAATATATATCTTGAATTTTATTTATATTTATTTTATTTTTTCTCTTTTCTTTTTCTCTTTTTAGGGTTTAAGACCAACAGAAACAGAATGACAAGAAAACGTTCGAGTCCCATGGGACTCGACATATATTTGTCAGCCATGCTGGCAATTGTTATGTTGCCATTATTAATACAAGCTGGTAAGTAGTCAATGCCTTTTTATATTTTATATATAAAATTATGTTTTTTTTTTCTCATATATGGATATAAGGATTTGTAGCCTGGGATTTTGTCGTTTTAGTCATTATTTCGCTTTTATGAATTTATGTTTGTAATTTTTTGTGGGGTATAATAAAGGTAAACATATTGTCATTTTTATATATAATGACATCCATAATCTCATAATAAGGTATATGATAATGTGATATTGTAGTTAATAGGATACCTTTTTTATATAAAAAATAAAGAGGAAAGAAAGAATAAATTAGGACTAAACCGATAAAGGAAGAAGATGAAGGGAGCAAAATATAGAGGCCCAATTTTGGGGGTATTTTCGAAAAAGTAGTAAAATCAGAACCTAAACAACATTTTAACGGGTTGACATTTTCTACAAAAATGTTCTCCTTAAAATTTCACTATATGATGCTGAACCACAGAAATCGATGGATATAACAAAATCGGTTCGGATATTGATATATCTACAAACATCATTTTTGTTCAATGACAATTTTATACTATTTTGAAAATGAGTCCATTTCGGGCACAATAATTCGATTTATAGGTATATGCCAAAGGAAAAAAATATTCTACACAAAATTTCACTATAAGTTACCCCACAACAGATATCGGTATATATAGAATATATCATTAAAAATCGGATCGAACTGGATGTATTTACAAAAAAGTAAATTTCTTGACTTCTTTACGAATAGCTTTCAAGATGTAATAATTTTTCACATACCAGTTCGTTTTAGGAAGTTAGTGCTAATGGAAAAATTATTCTCCACAATATTTCACTATGGGTCACAAAACAAACTAAATCTCTATATATAACGTATATCACTTAAATATCGGTCAATATTAAAAAAAAAACTTATTGTAATGGGTAGATAATTGAATTTTTGGTAATTTTATGTAAGCTTTGGAGTTTTGGCCGAATTTTCCGATTCAAAATTATTATAGAGGATTGATGTCAATGAAAAAATATCATACACCAAATTTCAGTACACGTCACCATACAAAAGAAATCGGTATATCATTCCGGAGGCCTGGATCGAGCTGGATGTATATGCAAAAAGTTAATTTCTTGGTTTCATTACGAAGGGGTTTAAAAATGTAGCGATTTTTCATATTGTCCTTCGTTTTAGGTAGTTGGTACTTATGGAAAAATTATTCTCCATAAAATTCGACTATGGGTCCCAGAACAAACGAACTCTCTATATGTAACGTATATCACATAAAAATCGGTGCAAATTTGGGCTATATTAAAAAAAATGATTTTTAGGGTAATTGTTTGTATGATTTCGTATTTGGGCTGAATTCTTGCACAAAACTCCATTCTATGAGATTGATGTCGATGAGAGAAATATTTTATACCAAATTTCATAATAGGTCACAATACAACAAAAATCGGTATATATAACATATATCACTAAAACATCGGTACAAATTTTGCCGATTTTGCAAAAAGAGCATTTAATGGTTTCATTAAGAAGCATTCTCATGTTGGCCCAATTTTTGACACAAGACATCATTTTACCACATTTTGTCAATGGAAAACATATTCTTCATAACATTTGACTATAGATTACAAAAATAAATAAATCGGAATATAATACATATTACAAAAAAATCTATACAAATATTGGTCAATATGCCGAAAAAACAAATTCTTGGATATTTTTTGTATGATTCGGATTTTTGGTCAAATTGCCCCACAAAACTCCATACTAGATGGTTGCTGGCAATGAGAAAAATATTCTATACCAAATTCCACACAATACATCGGTATATATAACATATATCACTGAAATATCGGTATAAATTTCGCCGATTTTTACAAAAATAGCATTTAATGGTTTCTCTACGAAGTATTCTCAAGTTGGACCACATTTTCACGTACCATCTTATTTTAGAGAGGTGAGGTCAATGGAAATTATATTTTCCATAAAGATTTACTATAGGTCACAAAACAAATGAACCATCTATATTTAAGGTATATCATTTAAAAATCGGTAGAAATCTGGAAAATAAACAAAAAACTGAATTTTTTGCTCTTTTTTGGTATAATTTTCTATTTGATCCGAAATCCACACAAAATTAATTTTTCGATGATGATGTCAATGTAGGATGTATTCTAAATCAAATTCTACTATAGGTCCCGGAATACAAGAAACATGTAGATATATTCTGTATCACTTCAAATCACGTTCAAAATTCGATACACTATTAAAGAAAGCTTATTTTTGGGTCTTATTTTGTGCGACATTGAATGTTGGTCATTTTCTTTTGTTGTTGTTCATTTTGTCGACATGCTCTAAGAGAGGGAAATATTCTCCATGAATTTTTACTTAGGGTCTCCCTATAAAATTAATGTGTGGATACGATATATCCTCAAAAAATCACTTTTTTAATTATACCAACATGTAACCTTTTCCAACCTTTTTTGGTATAATTTTGAATTTGGTCAATTTATATAACTCGTTTTATCGGCAGGATCTCAAAGAGCGAAATATTCTTCATGAAATTTCACTAGAAGTTGCCAAATAAAATAAATCTCTAGGCATTTTATGCACTACCCAAAAATCGGTTCAAATAGGGTTATAACAAAAACATGACCTTTTGATCTTTTTTGATGTAATTTCCAATTTTTGGTCGAATAATAAATTAAAACTATTCTTAGGCGAATAGAAAGAAATATTATATACAATATTTGACAGTATGCCACCAAACAAAATAAATTCCTAGCTATAATATTTAACCATTAAAATATTACATACAAATTTGGGTAATTGCTTTAATTTTTTTTAAATTTTAAACCTTTATTTTTGGCAAAATTTTAAATTTAGGTCGATTTTTTCCATATTGGTTAATTTTTTCGTACTGGTTTCAAAGAGAGAAATATCCTCAATCGAATTTGACTACAAGTCACCTTTCAAAGTTAATCTCTAGGAAAAATAGATATCCCTAAAAAAATCCTTTCAAACTTGGACATATTAACTGAAAGTATGCTTTGGGCTTTTCTTTGTGCAATTTCCAATATTACCAATTAAAAGTAATTCCAGGTTGATGACCTTAGAGAAAGAGATATTTTGCACAATATTTTACTATATATATAATAAATCTCAAGCTGTAATATTTAATAATAATAAAATTGTTACAAATTTGAAATCTCTCTAATGTCTGTTTCATTGCAATTTATATTTACTTTTAAATTTAAAATTTTTGTTTTTCTCTCTTGTATTATTTTAAAATACTCTCCTTCAATTTACTTAAAAACTAACACTCCATTGTCTATAAAATTTCACAAGGAAAAAATCTCAAATATTTATTTTTAATTACATTCATTTCCCATAAATTGCAGTTTTATAAACCACAATGACAGTATAGCTTCTACGGCAAATTCCTTTTTATGGCATTACAGAAAGAAAGAAAGACAGACAGACAGATTTTTTTTTTTATTTTTACTAACTGACACTTGAAAATCTTGTTCAATTTAAATTAAAATGTGTGTAAGTGTGACTCAATAAAAATGTCATTGTTTTAAATGAAATGTGGACATGAATATGTTTCATTGGATTTTTCTGCAGTAGCAGAGGGGAAGAATGGAAGTTTGGGAAGTAGGGGGAACATTTTGCAAAATCATCTGCAGTGAATTTATGTGTCGCCACACCACACCAAGGGGGAGTGGTGTTAATTGAGGACAGCATCCAGTATTTCAAATTTCCCCCATTCAACCAAAAAAATAATATATGGCCAAATAAGTAACACACAACAAAAAATATCTACATATGTATGCTTGTATGTAGGTATGGACACAAGAACAAATAAAATATTTCCCATACACACTCATGAAATTTGGGATTCACACATGTGTATGTATGTGTGGCTGGCTGTCTGTTTGTCTGTCTGCCGACCTGCCTTTGCCTTTGTCTGTCCATCTGTTTTGTCACCATTTATATACAATGGGATTTAGATATTTTATTTTCAAAAAAGATACACAAGTATTTTGCAACATTCAACACGGACAAGTGAATGATAAATGCATTTTGTATATAGTACGGTCGGCAAACATAACAATCAAACACACGCACCAAAAAAAATTCGACAGTGTCACTGACATTTGCCACATCCTCCCTAACAACAGGGATAGCAAGCGACCCCACACCAGCTATGAAATATCAGCGTAGATGATTAAGCAGAAATAATGCAACAGATTTTTGGGTGTTTGATTGGCACATGTCTCTATATATATATTTTTTTGGTGCAATGGTCAGCCAATCTAAGGGAGAGAGGTGGAGGGTGGTTAGATAATTGAAATTACACTGTATAAATGTTATTACCTAGCAGGATTTTTTTTCACCCGACTGTCAACGGCCCGCCATAGATAAGGGTAATTTGTCATTTTCGGTCTTCATCAATAGATTGGCCAAAAATTGAAATCGATGGAAAGTGCAGATAATAAAAATCGGCTTCATCATCAGCATCATCAAGGGTCATCTGTTGTTAATTTAGGTGGTATTAGAGCCACATAAAAATCTATTAGTGCATCAAATAGATTGAATGGTTGTTACACAGAAAATGCATTCTGTTATGGTCCAGCAGAAAATCCCTTTCCAATTTAAGGGTGACTATCCCTTGCAAAAATTCATTTTAGCACACAATAAATTTTTTGCAAACCACCCCTCCCTCACAAATGGCCGGATCCTGGTTTCGGACAAATGTCTGTTACATGCTGTTGATGATTTCCGTGTGTTGTTACAGGTTTCGTATTTCAGCAATGTTTGTTTGTTTGGCTGTGTTTGTTTTGAAACACATGTTTCTTAATTTAGACCAGTAATGTTAATAAACCGAACATCCATACACACACACACCCTCAAGCAGCCGAACATTTACACCTTTTTAAGAAGGATGTAAATATTCGCAGCATTTCCTTTTGCAACCACCACCGACCGGCCGGCCAGCTCACCCACATCAGAAT